ATCTGGAGTCTCGGGCTGACGGTACTGGAGTGTGCTACCGGTAAATTTCCCTATGATTTCAGTGAAGGCCCAACCAATCTCATGATGCAGATACTCGATGATCCATCGCCGACACCACCAGAAGATGCATATTCACCGAAGTTCCGTTCATTTATAGATGACTGCTTGCAGAAAGAGCCTGATGAAAGGAAGGGGTGTTTTGGAGCCCGGGCTCAGCTGCTCCCATAATCTGGCTCGTTTGTTTTGGTCTTGGGATGTGAACAAATCCAGCTGGCTTGTCAGATACTCCCTCCGTCCGGGTTTATTACGCCTAAAGACAACTCCTCTTAGATCAAGACACATAATAATTTGCTCACATAAATTCTTCAATTCCACTCTCAATGCACTCTCTCACATGCATGCAACCAATGAAAAAGCACGCATGAAGTGTATTAATTTCCCATTCATGGCACCAACAACAATGGCTTTCAAGGCAACCAATGAAATGGTTGCACGCATGCACCTTTCCAAAGCGAGGCTTTATAAAAAGGAACATGCTTGTGATGCTAAGAGGACTAATAAACCCGGACGGAGGGAGTACGAGCAAGGAGAAACAGAAGAAACCAACAAATACGGTAGGAAACAGTACGCAAGACGGGGACGGCGGGGCGCGGCCTGACGGACGTCGCGGCGGCTGGGTATGGGCCGTGGACCAGGTCGTCGGCTTTCCAACCAGGACGTTTGCTTTTTTATTCTGGGCCAAGGATCAGATAATGGGTCCGTGTGGCCGGTAGCAATTTACGCCGCCTGTCGGTCGTGCGGCATGAAATGAAAAAAAAAAGGTAGATTTGTCCTCCACTATCTCCTGGTTCGTCCTAGAGGGTCCCCTCGCCGCCGCGGTACCCTGGAGCCTGGTCACCGGGAAAAAAGGGAGAGCGTAGCGGGAGGCCGGCCAACCGGGCGGCCAACCGGGTTGCGGCGGCGACCGTGCTCCGACGACGGACTAACCAGTGATGGAGGGGGAGGGTATGGAGTTTCTAATTGACGCTGTTGACAGGTTGGTTCCCGGCCAGATCTGTGCAAAAATTGCTGTTCTACATAAGCGCCGGCGGCGTGGTTCGATCCTAGATATCTAATCCTTTTGCCGGCGACTCGCCGTTCGTATTGTAGGTTCCCCGTGCGTGAGGAATTTGCGGACAGCCTTACAACCCAGATCCAGTTCCACTACTTTTTCTGCTGGAGAAGGGGAGTGCGACTGAGGATGTGGGTGAGGTCGATGGCGTCACTGAGCTGACTCAAATGGAGGATGTAGGAGCAGCAGCGGCAACGCAACAAGGTGGCCATGCTTTACGAGCTGAATCTCCAACGAGGTCTGCTCAATCAACAGGCAGAGTGAATCCACAAGCCCCCGGTTGGACAAAAAGGTGAAAACTCCTCTCTGCTGTTTGCACCTTGCACTGCAAAATTACTGTTAAATGCGTACCATACATACATGTCTCAATGCAAAAAGTGATTCAGAAGTACGTCTGCTGTCAGGTCGAATGGTTTCTGGGGAAATGAATTAAAAAGTCAGGCCCAATATCGTGGTACTGCACTTGCCTTCAGATGTAGATTAAAATGACCAAGACTGTTTTCTGTTTCCAAAAATTATTGAACTGAGACAGAAACTAAAAAGAAACATGAAAAATGAATATAGATATTAGCAAGCATCACAGGGGCCATCGTCTCTGGGGTGGGGTTGGGAAAACATCCCCGGTGTCCATTGTTTATTTGTATGCTATAGAACTAAGAACAAAATCCAAATCTAAAAATATGAAAACGAAAAAAGACAGAAAAATCATTTCGCTGGATTCTGAAAAAAATTGCAGAAATTAACTACATTCCCCCGTTTTGCTTCTTAATATGCAGGCTCCGGCTTGGAAGTGCACCACCTGACCGGGTGGCTTGCCCGTCGAGGATGAGCGCACTAGAAATTTCAATCCGCAAGTATGCAGAGCAACCTGATAAGAGCGTCGTTAAACCTGAGCTGGGACTTAGTTTTGATTCGTTGGGCAAGGCATATAGTTTGGCAGCGGGAACAATCTGGGCATCCCCGTTGCCGTGCTGGACTGCAAATCCATGCCCCGCTGGGTGCCATCCCGCTTGATGCTGCGCAGCAAGGATCTGCTCGTGGGTCATCCTCCTGCAGTACGCGCGCTGGAACTCAAAGAAACGTCACTGAAGGGCCTGCCAAAGGAGAAGAGAAAATCTCAATCATTAGCCAGGTACGAGCTGTGCCGAAAACAGATCCAGATTTATAATTTTCATGCTCAATGATTCTACTTACGTCATAGCGAATGCACTTGTAGAAACGATGACCAGCCTGGTTACTAGTCCTCGCGAAGGCGGTCACGACCTCGTCGCTGCAGAGAGGGCATGCCATCAAAGGGAGCAGCCAATCGGCTGGGACAGGAAGGGAAGATGAAGACGATGCGGACATGGCAGCGCGGACGAGATTGAACAATGGCGATGGCCAAGCAGGGGCGAGCTCGGGAGAGTAAATGGAGATGGGTGGTGTGCTGGCTAGAGTGAATGAGCTGGTTGGGCTGGTGAGCATTTATGGAGCTGGCGCTCCGACGCCGTTTGTGCTGTGAATCTTGCGTCATACGGCTCATGCAGGCTCAGATGTGGTGCCGAGCCGTCGCACCTCCAACGGGGCCGCGACGTGCCGTCTCCATAAATGCACCTCTGACACGCGAGCCAGAAAAGAGATATACGGCCTGAAAATACATGAAGACACACAGATCTTGGCGCAGACCATCGGTGTGGATTTCGGGAGCAGCTGAGCCCGAGCTCAGAATCGAATTTTCGCTGATGAAAGGTCTACATGTGAGCAGCTTTTGTCACACCCATTCATCAAGAGGTATGAGGAAGCCGGTGTCGACTTGGCGGCATACGTCGGGGGTGTTGTGAATCCAACAGAAAGGTTGAAGCAAATAGCAGAGATGCTTGTTGTTCATTATTACCTTCTGTTCAATGGCTCTGATGGATCCTGGCATCATATGAAGACACCGTACATGGAAGAATCATCTTTCCGCTTCTCAGGGAATGTGTATGTCGGGCAAAGTGCCATATTTGATACTTTGTCAACCATAAGAAACAAGTTTAAAGGTGATCAGCCTAGTGGGGGGATTTTTCATGTTGTTGAGAAGATACATTGTGGTGCAGATGGGGAAAGAGAGATCACCGTTCGTGTGTCTGGATCATTCATTGTGGGCAACCAATTTCTAATACTTGGTGAAGGGCTGCAAGCTGAAGGGATGCCCAGCCCAGACGAGCTCGCAATTGACATTCCAAGCAATCGGGCAGGCCAGTTCCGGGAGCAGTTCATCATGCAGCCAGGGATTTCCATGGAATGCTACTACATACCAAGACAAGATCTCTCCATCAGCTAGTCCCGACAAGATTTGTAATTTGTAAGACTTCTTGGGCTAGTTTAGCTTAAACTTATCTGCTCACAAAAACAACACTGAAAATTAGTATTCGAGAAATTACAATCAATTTCTTTGGCTTTGGTCGCCTGAGCTTATTACTTACTCCGTCTGCTGAAAAGTATATAATGCCCATGGACTAAAATGCATCCTGACTAACTGACAATGACCTATTTTGATTTTTTTTTGCTGAAAATACCATTAAAATGGGTCGTTGTCACAAATTTCAAATCAAAGAGACGTATTTCAAACACCATTAAAATGTTAAATGTTACGAAAAACATATGGGTCATTGCTACAAATTTCAAATTAAAAGAACGGATGTACTGCACATGCGATGCTTTTACGAGACATTCGTCAACTGGATTTAATCGAGTTGATTGCATAGAACCATCACAATTGCGGCGTCATTTGTAGAAAATATGGTTTTCCAAAAAAAAATTGATTAGCAATTTGCGCCGTATTGGTGTACCGTGGTGGCAGCGGTCTACTCCTCAAATAAAAGCAACAGCACCCAAAGATGCACAAAATAAATAATTAAAACAACTAACAAAAAATAAACCTAAGCAGGAAATGACTGGACAGAGCGCACCTACTATTCTATCTATCTGATGATGAAAAGAGAAGTGGAGGTCCAGTCCAGAAGTGAAGCCTTGTACAATCAAGAATGACAACAGAGCAGGGACCTACGTGTAACAAATTAAGACTAGTCGGCCACAGTGCACGCAGAAGGCAGAGAGATCATCGCCCAAAGGAAGGATCTATTTGTAAGCTCCAAAAATAAACGGGGGCAGCAATGAAAGGCACCGGGGGACTTATGTGTAAGGAACTGAGGGACCGGCGCGCGAAATGTCAACAAAATTTGGACCATTTCTCGATTTGTGCGTGTCATCCTTGCGCAGGGGCCATGCTAATCTTCTCTGTATCGTTCCAATTTTATCAGATGTCCCCAAAGGGACGGGTCCGCTGCCGCGGCCGGGCTTATAAACCGGTGCGTGTCTCCTCCGCTGGCCGATGTGGGACTAAAACGCCAGCGAGTCCGTTCCTCCCAGCAATCGCTGCTCCCGACCAGCCTCGCTCCTCCCGTGGGCACGCGGGCCGCATCCCCTCGCGCGGCCCAGCTCGGCGGACAGCCCAGCCCAGCCCAGCCGGCCAGGCTGGCGGAGGGCGAGACCATCATTATCAGCGGCAGCGGCGGCCGCTTTCCTCCACACACACACCATTATTTTCCTCTCCCTCCTCCTGACCACCCACCCACCTACCAGCCACCAAGGCGGCCGATCTCCCCTCCCCAGCCGCGCCACCGCCGACGCCGCAGCTCCGGCAGCCGTTCGTCTCGAGGTACGGACGAGCCTCCCCTCCCCTCCCCTTCCCTTCCCCCAGCGATCCTCCCAGCCAAATCCCTCCCGCTAGGGGACCTCGCCCGCCGCTCTAGATCTAGATCCGCCCCGTCGTCGCCGCAGGTGTTCGACCCCTCCCTCCCTCGCTCGCTCGCTACCGCAGGCGGGCAGGCGGATCCGGGCCCAAGTAGATCGATCCCTCCGCCTCGTCATGAAGTGCCCTTCCGGTTCCTCGGGCGGCCGCGATCCCTGGGCGCCTCCTCCTGGTTCGGGTGGTGGTGGTGGCGGCGGATCCAGCGAGCCGGCCAAGAAGCAGCAGCGGACCGGGAGCTCGAGCCAGGCCGACGAGGCGTCCACCTCCTCCTCCTCCTCACAGCCTCCGCCGCAGCAGCCGCCTGCACCGGATGGGGGTGATGTGCCGTATCTGGGGGAGGACCTGATGTTCGAGGTGCTGCGGCGGGCGGAGGCGCGGACGCTGGCCAGCGCGGCGTGCGTCAGCCGGGGCTGGCGGGCCCTCGCGCAGGACGAGCGGCTCTGGGAGGCGGCCTGCGTGAGGGAGTGGGCTGACCTCGGCTTCTCCGAGCAGCAGCTCCGCGCCGTCGTGCTCTCGCTCGGCGGCTTCCGCCGCCTGCACGCCGTCTCCATCCGGCCCATCCAGCGGCGCCGTGCCGGTGTTCCTGCTGCGCCTGCTCAGGAAAGGGGAAGGCGGCAGCAGCCTCCTGCCAGGCTGGGCCGGGACCAGGTCCAGCTGTCGCTGTCGCTGTTCTCGATCGGGTTCTTTCAGAGCATGCCTAATCACCCCCCTCCTAAGAAGAAAGATGAGGGTGATGGCAACGATAAGGGTGGAGGTGGGCGGTGCGGGTGATCCAACTGGCTTTGCCTAACAGCTAGTCTGGACAAGAGAGAGCACAAGGAGTTATGACAGAGACAGTGGAACTGCAAGGTGGTTGGATTATGCTGTTCTAATATGGATAGGTGTATGAGTACTGATATGTCATAAGGTCACCTGGAAATGTGGATAGGTGTATGGGTACAGATTGGTTGGTAGTTTAGTTGAAGCGTCACGGGACAGATGGGGTGCCATACCATATAGCACATGGAATCGCTTTGGGGAGAAATGGCCCCAAATCTGTGTGCTCTGGATTGTGGTTGCTTGATGTCGATCTCACAGTATATAGTATGTTGCTTAAGTTGGTTTGAATTATTGTGTAAAATTCTCGCTTTAAAGATTTGAGCAATGTGAAATTATGTGATTGAAGGGTCAAGCTAGTTTACTTCAGTAACAATGGCTAGATTTAAGCTTGCATGTGGTTGTTATAATAATGAAATGGTAGCTGACATTTAGCTAACTGAAATTTCTCGATACTCCAGATTGATCTTTGGTGACTGTTAGAAGCCACAGACACTGAAGATGGCGCAGCCTGCTGAGCTTTCCCGCGAGGAGAATGTGTACATGGCCAAGCTTGCAGAGCAGGCTGAGAGGTACGAGGAGATGGTTGAGTTCATGGAGAAGGTGGCCAAGACAGTTGACTCCGAGGAGCTCACAGTCGAGGAGCGCAACCTTCTATCAGTTGCTTACAAGAATGTTATTGGTGCCCGCCGTGCCTCGTGGCGCATCATTTCCTCCATTGAGCAGAAGGAAGAGAGCCGTGGCAATGAGGACCGTGTCACACTCATCAAGGACTACCGTGGAAAGATTGAGGTTGAGCTCACCAAGATCTGTGATGGTATCCTCAAGCTTCTTGATTCCCACCTTGTCCCCTCATCTACTGCTCCAGAGTCCAAGGTCTTCTACCTGAAGATGAAGGGTGATTACTACAGGTATTACAGTAATGTCCAGCATATAGTTCCTGCATGTTTGCTTCATTGCACATTAGATTGATTTGGTTGAATATTTTTGTAATAGGTACCTTGCGGAGTTCAAGAGTGGAACTGAGAGGAAGGATGCTGCTGAGAACACCATGGTCGCATACAAAGCTGCTCAGGTAGTTTGCTTGACCTGGATTTCATGGTCCTGACATTGAACTTCGTTGGCAAGAAATCTGTTTCATGCGTGATTTGTCCTGTTTAATTATTTGGTGGTGAATTTCTTGCTCAGTTGAGTTCATGTTGAATCTTTCAGGAGATTGCACTTGCAGAGCTGCCCCCGACTCATCCTATTAGGCTTGGGCTGGCACTCAACTTCTCAGTGTTCTATTATGAGATCCTCAACTCGCCTGACCGTGCTTGCGACCTTGCCAAGCAGGTTTGTTTTCTACAATAACCAGTTGTGCTGGTCTATTATGATTTATCAGTACATCTGAACTGAATAGAACCATGTGGATCTGAGATGATTCAAAGTCAATACAGTTTTATCTAATATTCGGGCTTGATAATCGCGACTAATAATTGAATAACAAGTACGTGCACCGGGCTGCCCTTTTTTATTTGAGTAACAACTGTTAACAAGGAATCAGTGTTATGAGCTACAGTTGGTTAGGCAAAGAAGGGTTGTTGTTGGACCTGAAAGATCGATAAAGAAATAATGACTGTTCCACATAATGTCCCTGGTCATAGGATGATCAACAAAAATTATGGTTGTAGTAGGCTTTTCAAAGCTATTAAGCAGAATTATTTATGTTTTCTAAGATAGCAGAGTATATACTGTAGCCTTACTCTGCGTTGCTCATGTCAGGCTTTTGATGAGGCCATCTCGGAACTGGACTCTCTGAGCGAGGAGTCGTACAAGGACAGCACTTTGATCATGCAGCTTCTGCGTGATAACCTGACGCTGTGGACTTCTGACATCTCGGTACTTCATTCCTCCCGAGCATACCCTCACTTGCTTCCTATCTTCTCACCGAATCAATCCTAAATATGTACATTCCGCTTTGCTTGGCTGCAGGAGGACGCCGCTGAAGAAATGAAGGATGCTCCCAAGGGTGAATCTGGAGATGGACAGTAAACACTGTCTATGTGTTCAGAAACTTGTCTTTCTCGCTTGTTCAGTGTAGATTGTAATGTCATCGTGGTTGCTGGTAATTGGAGGCTCCAATTTGTGTTGTGATAGGGAAGCTTGTAGCTGCCTTGCTTGCTCGACAGCCTGATTATCGGGCTGCACTGGTTATTGCCTCTTGTTGAACCTTTGTGTTACTTTGGTGGTTTTAAAAATTTTCTGCTGCTCTTGTTTGTGGCCCCTTGTCTTCGTATTCATCTGTGTTTCTTCTTTCCGGACGGGTGTCTCTGAACCCTTCCACTTTGCCAAGTCTTATTCCCATGTTATGGGAGTTTCGACATTCACGGTGCTCCTAAAGCACATTTGGGAGTATTATTTACCTGGTTATATGACTGGACCGAAGGCATCTGAGATGGAGACGAAAGCAACAAATTTGCAACTAGCTTGCGTTATGTTAACCATATGGGTTTCTACAGGTGGTATGCAGAAATCTTATGATGCGGCGAACATCATGAGTTGTAAAAAGGCTTCCATAGCGACGACAGTGCCGGTTCACAAGTATTTCTGCTTGTACTCACATGTATGCTGCTGTTTTCTCATTTTCCGCTCCTTTCCCCATGCAACAAAGCTTACAACTTGCTCCCTCTGTTCACAAATACTTATAAGATGTTTTAGATATTTCAATACGGACTACATGCAGAGTCTATATGCATGAACGCAGGGAGTACATATGTGGGCATTTCATGGCTGATATGGATTCTGCTTGCTTCCACATGATGCACTGATGGATCATGCTCACCACCAGAAAGTTCATCACATTTCCACTATTACATTACAACCATTCACAGTATCCCAATTCCACAAAGAAAAGAGCAGAAACTATCTTCTCACCTATAGACACTGAACTATTGTAGACCAAGAATTTACAAGGAGTGCATGGAGTTGTCCATCCGTCTTCCAGCCCCCCACCTGCCTAGATCATGGCTAAGATGCACCACTACTGCTTGATGCCGCCGCCAATGACCCGGTTCGGCGCCGGCATGAACATTTGTGCCAGCCATTGCAGCGGCTGGACCATCTCCGCCTGCTTCTTCCGCCAGTAGTCGATTGCCGAGCTGTAGAACTCGTTGCGGATCGTCTTGGAGGCGGCCCTCCAGTCACACTTCTCCATTTCCGCCCTGGCGGTCCTCCCCATTTCGCCCCTGAACTCGTCGTCCGTCAGCAGCAGCCTGATCTTGCCGACGCAGTCGTCGAGGTCCCCCGGGGCGAAGAGGAAGCTGGTCCTCCCCTCCACGTCCTCCGGGATTATGTCGGGGATCCCGCCGGCGCGGACCGCCACCACGGGCACCCCGGACGACATGGACTCCAGGACTACTTGGCCGAGCGTCTCCGACTCCGAGGGCATCACGAACACGTCGCCGCTCGCGTATGCCTGCGAGAGCTCCTCCCCTTGCATCATCCCGGTGAACACCGCCGGCATCCCCTCAAACATCTTCTCTAGCTCTGTCCTATATGGTCCATCTCCGATGAATGCAATTCTTACTCCAGGCAACCGGTCCATTACCCTGCTCAACCACGAAGCAAGATCAGTGAGAAGCTGCTCATAGTGCAAGGCACAACAGAGGGAAATGATACTCATCTCATTTTGGGTAGAAGCTTCACGCTTGTTAAAAGAAAAGTAAACATAATAATGAATCATGAATTGCAATGTATGAATGTTGCTCACATTTTCAGGAAATCCAGATTCTTCTCGCGCCCAAAGCGTCCGACGTGAATTATCAACGGTTTTTCGGGCTCACCATCACTGAAAACAATGCATCAGACAACACAAGTGTCAACAACTTAATCTATCTTGTACATAACATTTCAGAAGAAATGAAGTGGAATTTCACCTTAGCCTGACTCGCATCTCATGGCTGCGGAACCTGGGATGGAAGCTGGCAGAATCGACGCCTTTGTTCCAAAGGCGTATCCTGTTAGCTGAACAAGGATGTAAACCAAATCATTAACATCAGAAAAGTTAAGAACATTAGGACATGTAATATGCAACTACAATGTAAGAGATAAAACTATTAACCAACCAACCAGAAATGACATGGGCAGTTTCAAAATCCTTGCTGATAGCAGCAGATGGCACCAAAGTTAGATCAGCAGCTCTATGAAGGAACCCTGTGGATAACAGCAGGGGTAGATCAGTGGTTTGGTCACATAAAAGTTTGAGTGTTTGCAGTGATTGCAGATTAGGTGGGAGTGGATGGCTTACTGATGATTTGCCACATCGGTTCCACAAGCCAGCTGAATGTATATCTTGGAATGTATCTGCAGAGAAAATGTAGATATCATTCGGCGGCTATGGCAAACTGATCAAACAATCAGATCAAAACAGCTTTGCTGAAGTTGTTCACTAGCAATTTAAAGTAGAAGACAAAAAGGCTTTCTATCTCGGTGCTTCTTGCCTAAGTCTCTTCTTAAGAGCTGCAATCTGAATTGCTTAATGCACTTCTATGTTACTATTCCATAAATCTTAACACGTGACTTGCTTGATATTGCTGTAGGCACAACCCAGTTATTTATGTTTCCACACAATAACTAAACCGACCGCATTACTAATTTACTCTGGGTATTATAAATTATCCAATTACATGAGTCATTATCGCAGGGCATTCTGAATTATTTTTGAATGTGCCCTACTTACTTTTTATATTCCCATTGGAAAGTAAAATAAATGACCTTGCAGTATTAGTAATTAACGGCCATACGAGCATTGTTAAGAGAAAATAACTTACACTGGGACATGGGTGTGGTAGGACATCACTAGGGGGACGCTGAGCAGCTTAGCAATAGCAAGGGCCCCAAAAACCTGAAAATGGAGCAGAGTGTTACTTAGTGACTAACCAACCACCAGAGGATAAATGATCAGTGAAATGAATGTAGAAATAAAGTTACCATAATTCCAGGTGAGGATGCATGAATGATGTCAGGCTTGAACTTTGCAACCTCTGAGATGATCCTAGGGCTGAGTGCCAGTGACAGAGGAACCTTTCCATACAGTGGGCATGGAAAGCTGGAAAGGATGTGGAAACGGTTGTGAGAACACCCAAAGGCACAGCAGATCATGTGGTTCAATCAATATGATCACAACACTGCCATTCTACCATGGATTGATCATCATATCATTCATCAAGTTCATACAGATGGAGCACTTATTCAGAAAGTAATATGATTGCAGTGTTTTCTTTTCCCAAGTGGTACTTGATTCGATTATAAGCTTGAATTACAAATAGTAGAATATCCTAATGCCTAAAACTTGGAAACATGTAGTATTCCTTGAGAGCAATTCATGGTTCTACAAGCATTTAAAGTGCTAAGACAAAATCCTGAGAATTTACCTCCATGAACCAATAACCTTGGCGCCGTGGAACTCCTGGGGAACCCCCTCATGGTTAGTCACAACAATGACCTGCAGAGTGCAGAACACACATCAGAAACGTCCTTAATTAAGACATAGTACTAATCATCCACTGTCCTGTGATTGTTCTAGAGCCAATGCCAGTCAAAAATGCGTACCTCGTCGCCCATTTCGCGCAGGTGCTTGATGAAGTTCTGGAACCGGTTCTTGTACCCGGAGATGTAGCTGCAAACATGCACGGAAGGCCCACCCAAAATTAGTCTAAAACGTGCGAGCATACATGGAGACTCAGCTTAATCATCATCAGCAGTTGTGCCAAAACAATAAGTGGCCATTTACAAAGAAAACGAATTCTCCGTCAGTATCCATGCATGCAATTCACAGTTTCCGTTTCAAAAAATGCAATTCACAAAGCGTAGCAACTCAAGTGCTCAACCAACTGAATCGATTCACAGGGAACTCAACCAAATTTCTTTCTTGTTCACATAATATCCCAAGGCCCAACAAAGACCAGGCCGGAGCTTTATTACCAACAAAGAACCCTCACAAAGGAAGCTTGAAAGGGCGGGCAGGTGAGTTCTTACGCGAACGGCGACGGCTCGACGAAGAGCGCGACGCGGCGCGGGCGCGGGTAGGCGGCCTCGTCGGCGTCGAGGAGCAGCGGCGGCGCCTCCTCCAGGCCGTCCGCGCCGATCGCCATTGCCGCCGCCACCCTCACAGCACACCAAGCACGCCCTGGTTAGCACAAGCTGCGGTTCTTCTTGCGTGTGTGTTGGAATGGTTGCTGCGTGTGGGAGCAAGAAAGACGGCGTGTTCGGGGCTGAGTATATAAGAGAGAGAGAAGAGGAGTGGGAGAATTCGAGGGGGATATTCCGTCGGGGAAGAAGGGGATATCGGAGGGAACTTTGGGAAGCATATGCTCCCCTCTCTCTTTCTCTAATATTGTTCTTCTTCCGCGCTGCGATATATTATGATTGGATGGGGATCCTGGGAAGCTAAAACCCAAATCTTTCACGCATAATCCGATCTCCGGTGATGTGAAAGTGTGCAGCTGGGTTCTACTCCCTCTGTCCGGAAATACTTATCGGTGAAACGGATGTGTCTAGACGTATTTTAGTTCTAGATACATCTATTTTTATCCGTTTCACCGACAAGCATTTCCAGACGGAAGGAGTGTTTAACACTGCCTGCCAAGCTAAATACAAGCGGTGTTTTTTTTATTTTGCATAGGAAAAGGTCTATGCTAGTGTGCTTTCAGTGCAGTGATAAGTGACAAAGCGACGTCGATAAGAGCGAAGAGAGAGTGACCCAAGAAAATAATGGTGCTTGCATAAGAACAGAAAAAAAAAAGGGTTCAAGAACAATGAATTATAGTTTAGCTCTTTTGACGTCGCCCCAGATTTTTAAAAATAACTGAATAATCCACATTCGTGCTACTACTAGAGCTAAAACTTTCTGTTCACCAGGACTACTCCAATTCTTGTATGTAAAACTGGATTTATTAGCTGGCCAGGTGAGCCCTCTTGCAAGGCTAGTACAATGAAGCATTTTTATTTTCTTCGATTGGTTTGGCTGAGAGCTCAGATCTGAGTCATTTTTGCCAATTCATGTGGTCAATGATTGTTGTGCTGGGTATATTCCAGGGAGGTTTTTTGACTAGCATGGAGCATCCACTAAAATAAAATACTCCTATAAACCAACTGACAATAACTGCTACCATGGCCTACAAAGAAGCCTGAAAGTGTGGTGAGCTGCTAGTGGGAAGAATTCAGCTGCAGAGATCAGATCTTGTTGCCTAGCTGAAGAATTAGCAACAGCCAAGTGATACAGACACAGCCAAGCCAGTGAGTGACCAGATCTTCAGGATGCAGGATATCCATGCAAATTTTGCAGGAAACAATTGAGGATATGCTGGCAAACTTGCAGGAACATCATCATTGGACAGAACACACACACATGAACGAGGCAACAACATCCCAGTAGTACCACATCTTTATGTTCATGATAAAGCCATAAATAAAACCAACGGACCCAGGCCACACGTATTTCGCTGATTTTACTCATGTTCCGCAATGTCACCGAAAAACAACAGATCTGAGTCAACATCGCAACATCACTGAAGGTTGCTTGCGTTAAATCTTAATGAAGTGGTCTTCGAAACACTCAAGCTGTGAGCCTGTGACCATACATATATCCAGTTGTTGCTACAGCATCCAGGACTAAATGTTACCATAATGCAATTCCTAAGTTCAGGCTTGAAACACCCTGCCGCCACGAGCTTGACCATGGGCAGGAGGTGCAACAGATGCGGTGTTCGTCCAAAGAATTCGACACGCACAGCTGGAGAACGTCCTGGCCATCGTTTTAAGACCTCAGAGGGCGTCTCGGGCAGCAATCCTGCACACGATTGCCTCTGGCAGTGTAGATATTGACAGTTCCTGTGGAGTTATTTTGTATTGCTGCCAGTAGGGAACAAGGAAAATCCAGTCAAACAAAGGAAAAATAAAATAATTATGATATTCAGAATCATATAGCTAGTGTCAAGTTCAGCTGAAAAACCTTCAGAATCTTTGGTTGGTCTGCTCTTGTCTCCAATTCTGACAGATCAATCTCGGTTCCGCTGATGAGCTTTTCCAGTGCTTTCATCTGTGATGTAACCATTTCACACTCAATGGTTGCTCGAACTCCTCCATTTGGAATGATAATGACTCACACAAATGCATAAGGAATATAGATGGCATGAAACTGAGAGCACCGCATACAGTAACACTACTTGTTCAATGCATCTCATAGTGCTTCTGACAGATTCAGAGTGGTCTGCATTGAGCAGGAGAGGGAGATGAGCCCCATCAGTTCTTCAAAAAATGTTTGCAGGCATGTTGTGCAGTTCTTCTACACTGCTATGCGCATTACTAGGATAGGTGATTTTGGTATATTATGATATCAAACATCTATGAGAAGACACTTGCATTTCAAACTGTTCCTTTTGAACTTCATATTTTGTAGTACCTCATCGATGGCCCTGTATTTTTTAGCCAGATATGGAATCAATGATATCAAGTCTACTTTTGCTTTCGTATAATGATTTTCCAGATATCCCAATAATTGGTAATAGGAACCAGAGTGTGACACACATAAAACGCTTAGAGTTCTGAAATGTTGGGTCATTACAAGAAGCCCTTGATTCAAGGCCCATAATTAGAGTAGTAACACTAGATGTCCAAAGCAAGAAAGTTTCAGCTAGGTTTTGATTTTAGTTTTTACACTACAACCATCAGAGCAAGAAAATTCAAAACTTCAGATTTGTGGTACTCAAGCTCAGGCAATTAGCAAGAAACTGACAGGTTCAGCGAGATTCACAGTCAATTCAAGCAGGGTTATTAGCAAGAAACCAACAGGTTCAAAACCATGACGGAACAAGGGGTGCATCCTGAGCATTATACCTCTTCATCTGAAGCATCAAACCGCGCCGCGAGGATATACTGCGTGTCATCGGCGATACCGCACCGCTTCAGGGACTCTGTTATCTAAGAAACACAAAACCAAGAAAACTGTCACCACACCGCGCTGGAACAATGCCATCATCATGTGAGGTGAGATCAAGTACTCCCTACGGTCCTTTTTACTTTGCATATAAGAATTGTCTGAAGTCAAACTTCACAAAGTTTGACCATATTTGTAAGAAAAAATATCAACATCTACCATGCTAAAGTTATAGTCTGAAACTTTATGTCATGACGCATCTATTGGTATCGATTTTACATTGTGAATGTTGGTATTTTTTTTCTATAAAGTTGGTCAAATTTTACGAGGCTTGACTTCAGACAAATTTTATATGCAAACCAAAAAGGACCGGAGGGAGTACATCCAGAGTAATAACAATTCTCTGAAAAGAGAAGAAAGAATTAACAGCTAGAGTAACCCACATGCTTCGAGCCAGAGCAGTTGTAGACGAGCTCCGAGTGCAGGGTCCTCGTGGTCAGCGACTCCCTCGACTTGGAGAGCAGCGCCTTGTGCGCCGCGGCGAGGACCGGGAACACGTCCGGCACCTGACATCGCATCGACTTAACCAATTGGCATCCTCAATCGCAGCAATTGGTGTGATTTAGCATATACAGGAAAGTGCGGCACAGTACCAGCGATGCGTTGATGAAAGCGGCCTCCGGCTCCAGCTTCCCCGACTGCATCAGATCGAGGAGCTCCCTGCGTGTTCATCGAGCATCATCAGTAATCGTGATACAAGCAGGAACTCTGTCCAGCAGTACAGCTCACGAGGTCACGGAAGCGGTGGCGAAGGAGGACGAGGGGGGAGGAGACGCACCGGCTGTTGGAGACGTCGGAGAAGAGGGCGAGGGAGACGTTGCGGCCGCCGGCCACCGGGAAGCTCCTCATGCCGCTGGCCCGGCGACGGGGTTGCGTCTCTTCTTCCCCTTTTTCTTGTTCGGCGGGGTGGCGTTCACGGAGGCGGCGCCGATCTTGCAGGTCTTGAGCAGCAGCGCGGCGGCGGAGGAGGGGAACAGGAGAGGAGACGGCGCACGGACGGGAGCTATAGGTCGCAAACGGGATGGGTTGAGCCTGTTTTTTTCTGTCCTATTTGGTTTGAACGATGTGAGAGCATCTGGACCCTGTATCCGCCAGACGTCACGACTGGCTGCCCGAAAACCACTCAAGTCGACCCTCATAGCCGGCCCAATGTACGAACTCAAAGCATCTCCAGCCACGTCCCAGAAAGGCCTCTCCAAGCATTTTTTTTTTCGCCGACGTTGAAAAATCGGCCTAGTCGCAACCCCAGGAGCCCGATTTTCGCTGCCCTGGATCGAATTTAGCGCCGGCGGACCCAGGCCGAACCCGGCGCGCTGAGGGGCGCTCGGGGGCGCCGGAGCGAGCGGTTTTGGCGCGAAAGAGCCGCGGGCCCGCCGCGTCAGCGACACCGCGCGTCTTCTTCCCCGAACGCTTCGGCTTCCCGCGGGGAATCAATGGCAAGGCTGCCGCCGGTCAGCCTTACCAGTGATTCCTCACAGGCGGCGCGTTCACGGGGCGGCGCGCCGACGTCTCCCCTCCCTCGTACGCGTACACACGGGGCGGCGCCGCTATATAAGCCGGTGGCCTCCCTCGCCTCTGGCTACACCAGCCACACCAGCCCTAGCCCGCCCTCTGCCTCTCCCGAGCGCCGCCGCCGAGCCCTCCCTCTCCCTCCCTCTCCCTCCCTCCCTCTCCCGATGGCCGAGCGATTCCCCGGCGATGAGGCCGCGGCCAACGACTTCGGCCGCCGATCGCTCCGCGAACAGGAGTCTTGACTCCTGTTCCAGGAGAATATCCCGGCGCCGCCGGACATGCACGCTGGGCCAACGGGGTGGAGACTCAGCAACGGGGGAGTGCCCATTTCCCTGTTGCCCGACGCCGTGGCGAAACCGGGCTACTTCGCCGATGAGGTCGACGTCGTGCGCGCCTCCCTCACCGACGCCCAGCTCGCCCTCCCCGAGTACGCCGCCGACAACATAGCGGCATGGATGACGTACTTCCAGCGCCGGCTGTCGTGGTTCTAAGCCTGACAGTAGAGTGGGGGGTAGGTATGGAGAGGCAAGGTCCTAGCTATGGAGAGGTTGTAAACACAAAGGATGTACGAGTTCAGGCCCTTCTCGGAGGAAGTAACAGCCCTACGTCTCGGAGCCCGGAGGCGGTCGAGTGGATTATGAGTGTATGAATTACAAGGTGCCGAACCCTTCTGCCTGTGGAGGGGGGTGGCTTATATAGAGTGCGCCAGGACCCCAGCCAGCCCACGTAGGAGAGGGTTTAAGGTGAGTTAAGTCTGGGGTGTTACTGGTAACGCCCCACATAAAGTGCCTTTACTATCATAAAGTCTACTTGATTACAGGCAGTTGCAGTGCAGAGTGCCTCTTGACTTTCCGGTGGTCGAGTGAGTCTTCGTGGTCGAGTCCTTCAAGTCAGTCGAGTGTGTCCCTCGTTGGTCGACTGGAAGGTGACTTCTTCTAAGGGTGTCCTTGGGTAAGGTACTTGGATCAGGTCCATGACCCTACCCTAGGTACATAACCCCATCATTAGCCCCCGAATGGATTGAGGCTTCGAGTGAGGAAGGAGTTGATGTTGTTTCTGATTAACCTTTGCGCTCTGGTCGTGTGTTGTCCTGGACCAAAGAATCTCTTCGTCGACAGGGAGCAACTTGCCTTCAGTCGACTCGATCCATTCTATTTTTGCGTCGAGTGATCTTTCGGGCTTCGACGATTTCCGAGCGACGGATCGCCGGAAACACCGCGTCTGACAGACTGATTTGCTGTTCGCGGATTCCGCGGGATGCGAAATTTGGGGACGCGCGCGAAGCGGGGCGGACCGCGGCGTTCGGATGGGACGGGGCATAGACGCCTCGATCTCCGCGCCGCCTTTTTCGCCACGTATCCCGTTTGCATAACTGCTCCCAGATATGATTAGATCGACGGGCCCACCTGTCATCCACTCGGAAGGGGCCTTATAAATGTGCCCAGCAAGGATTTCTGTGCTGCGCCTCAGCATTCTCTCCCTTTCTCTGCTTCCTTCTTCTCCGCCCAGCGTGCTCGCTCTCGCCCCCGCACCACTTCCCTTCGCGCATCTCGCCGGCGACCATGGCCAAGGAGAAGACGGCGGCGCTGGAGCGTGCAAAGAAGGCGTCGGCGTCGGAGAAGGCGAAGGGGAGATCCACCAGCCGCGGAGGGTCCTCGTCCAGATCCCGCCTGCCGAAGGGCTGGGTCCAAGGAGACTGGATCCAGTCGACCATCACAGAGAATGACCTCCTCGACATGGCCAACGAGGGCTTGATCCCTCACGGAGCTGCGAGGCTTCCGGGGAAGGAGTGGCAGCCTCAGCCAGAAGAGGGTGAGTGTGTGCTTTTGGCCACCCATGTTGATCGTGGGTTTTCCTTGCCGCCGAGTGTTTTCTTCCGTGGGAGGCCTTCCTGAGTAGTCTTGCCAAGAAGCTGTTTCTTATGCTTGAAGGTAAACCTCTATGCTTGGCAAACATTTCCAATTGTGGTTTTTTCATTCGACCATCCCTTTGACTTAGCGATCATCCTTGCAGAATTCTGTCAAAACTTTGAAGAAGAAACTAGCCGGCTGGAGCCAAACCTCGACCCTGTCAATTCTCCGGTGAACGACGAAGTTGCCATGGATGTTTTCCGACTGGAGTCTCGTGTCGCAGTTGTCGTGGACTATCTCGCAAGGCTGAAGGCCGCCACATCTCGCATCGACTCGACGCTTTGGCCTGAGGAGACACTTCAGAATGACCTTGAGTCGCTGATGGCCCGGTTGAACACGATCCCTGGTCGAGTGCAGGAATGGAAGAAGTCCTCGGCTCGGTGTGGTGCAGATGTTGCTCTGTGTCTGGCCCGAGTCCACTGTAAAGATGCGCGAGAAGAGAAGCTGGCGGCCCTTCGGGTGGCCAATACCAAGAAACACGACTTCAGGTCCTTTATGGAAACTTTCCTTGCAGCTGCCACTCGGATCGCCGACGGAATTGACCTTGATGAATTCGTTGCTCCTTCCAACCCTCCACAGGAGGGGTAAAAAACTTCTTCTGGTTCGACGCTTTAAATTTGCCTCGGTATGCCGAGTGGAATTGTAACCGATAAACCTTAACAGGCTTAACGCCTGAGCACTCTCGGTTCCTTTAGATATCGATTCAAACTTGAATTTGGTGCTTGAATATGATTGCCTTTGGCTCGAAATGTCTTTTGCAGGTTCAAAGCGAGGCGCCTTTACAACAATCGACATATTCTTCAGTCCACTTAGGCGAGCACTGGGCTGCAGCTAAGCCCCCCGAGTGAGAGGGTTGCTCTACACTCGGTAGGATTTTGATAACTTAGGCGAGTGCTTCGACTGCAGCTAAGCCTCCGAGTGAGAGGGTTGCTCTTCACTCGGTAGGATTTTTTGTAACTTAGGCGAGTTCTTGGACTGCAGCTAAGACCCCGAGTGAGAGGGTTGCTCTTCACTCGGTAGGATTTTTGTAACTTAGGCGAGTGCTTGGACTGCAGCTAAGCCTCCGAGTGAGAGGGTTGCTCTTCACTCGGTAGGATTTTTTGTAACTT